AACGGACTTATTTTTTTATTTTTTTTAAAGATTTTATTTAATCATTTGACAGAGAGCGAGCACAAGCAGGGGGAGCGGCAGGCAGAAGAAGTCCTGAATCAGGACTCGATCCCAGGATCCTGGGACCATGACCTGAGCCAAAGGCAGACACTTAACTGACTGAGCCACCCAGGTGCCCCATGGACTTATTTTATCATACTAAGTTGATGCTACCCATCCTGCTCAGTATGCAATTTATTTCAATTCTGAAGCTGTCTCTTCTTACAGTTAATTAAGCACCAACTATTACCCTGGTTGTTAAACACCAAATATTAAACACCAAGTATTAACCGGATTGAATAAAGATAAAGATTGGATCCATAGCAAAGGAAATGAGAAATTCTAATAGGAGAAACAATTGTGTATACTTTGGTAGCTACCAAAACATTATGTACAGTAATTAAAGGATGACCATGAGGCATTTGGCAAATTTAAATAAAGTGAAAAATAAAATAGTGAAAACAGTTCTACTGGGATACAAAAAATCATTCTTTCTGGCTTTTCTTTAACACTATAAAGTTCAGTAACTATTTTCACTTTGCCTATATTTTTTGGGTTTTGTTATCTTGCCTTTTCTAGTCTTTTATTCTATTTCTTATAAGTTTCTTGGGCACTAGAGTATTTTTGTTTTATTTATTTTGTTTAGCCTCTTCCTCAAACCCAGTACTCTTTAGTGCATATATTTTCAATAAAATCCAGTAACGAATAATTTTCCCTTTAAACTAAATGTGCTTAAGAGTAGGACCGAGGAGGAGAAATGTAGTAGATACTTGCAAAGCTTCCACATCATCCACACAGAGAAAGCCAGAACTAGAGCTGCAGAAAAGTTTGTAACTAAGTATTGCCCTCCAGTGAAAAAAAGATGACAGTTCTCAGGAAAATAAAAATCAAAGTAAACACCTGGGCTTATCGCCTCATGCTTAGAAAGGGCTCAGAAATGTTGGTATTTCCTTTGCTGGGAGGAGGAGCAGGTACATTGAAAAGCATAAAACTGGGGCCCTTGCCTCCTTCCTTTTCTCCTTCCCTTCAGAAAAGTTTTACTGAGCTCCTGGGCCAGACACCCAGGCATAGGAAGACAAACAAGCTATAGGCCCTGTTCTCGGGGATCTGGCATTTAGTGAATACAGGTAATCAGGTAACGAGATTATGGTGTGACAACTGCTATGACGGAGGTGATCTGGGGGTACTTTGGAAATACAGAGGGTGGGCACTTAATTCAGACTCTATAGATCACAGAAAACTTCTCGTGCGGGAGGTGATATCGAAGTTGGGCGCTGAACGACAAAGAGTTTTGAAGGTAGGCGGCAGGGGGGGATGTTGAGTGAGGGTTAGTGGGTAGCCAGGCAAAGAAGCCCTGCTAGGCTTTAGATATAAAGGTTGAGATCTTTAAAAACTTATGTTTTGGTTTGCAGATCTTCTACCTGTAAGTGGCTCAAAACAGCCCCTCGGTAAAGTAAAACTGTGGAAGGGCAGAGTTCACCTCACCGTTCACTAGACGTGCATCCTTGACCTAGAGCCCACCATAAATTATCAGTGACCCAAACTCCATTTTCCCTAGCGTGTCTCTTCAGAACTCTGCTTGGACAGTATCTTGAATTATTTGCTTATGCTTCACATATAATCCCTGAGAGATTTTGTCAGTTGTGGAGTAGAAGCTACTAAATGAAGGCTGTGAAGCGTATCTCTTCATTGTGTACAATTTAGTATAGAAAAGGCATGTGTTCTCTTTTGGAATATGACAGAATCCCATTTCAGTCTTGCTATAATTCTCATGTAACATTGTCATGCTCCACTACAAAAACAGGAGGAAACCATTACTTTATAGGTATTTTTAAAATCTACTTAAAGAAAACAAAACTTCAAAATCCCAAACTTTTAGCTATGGTATCAGAATACAGCGTTTCTAGTCTTCTGATAATAACTATGAGTTAAGATATATTTCTTCTATTTATTAATACTATCCTTGGTTAAAAATAAACTGATTATAATGGCACTCACCTTGCTTTTCAAAGATAAGTGGACTATTGAATAGAATATAATTTTAAAATTTGCTAACAAGAAATTTTAACTTTTTAAAATCTATTCTGCCTCAAAGATATTGTTTGTAGAGGTCCATTTTACATATTAAAAAATTCTTTCCTCTTTCTACTTAAGGATTCTGCTGAAAATTGCCTACCATGCTTCCAGAATAGAGCACGAAAGATTTCTCATTGAGCTTTGTTCACACAGAATCACGTGGAAAGTTACATGGACCAAAAGAGCCAAAGGCATGGATGAGCCAGAACATGACTTCGGAAGTTAGGAGATTTTTTTTTTTTTAAGATTTTATTTTTAAGTAATCTCTACCCAACGGGGGGCTCAAACTTTCAATCCTGAGATCAAGAGTAGCATGTTCAACCGCCTGAGTCAGCAGATGCCCCTGAAGTTAGGAGATTCTAATTCAAGTCTCTGTTCTTTCTTTACTAACTCTCTCTCCTCCTCTAGGTAGTAGTAATTATACGATTTACTAAAATGTTCTAAGACTTGAGTTCTTTGAGGGCTCTAGATCATAAATCTATAATGGTCTAGTATAACTATTATTAGTGATATAAAATGTTTTCCTAGAAAAATGTGGACAATGACTTTTATGAAATAGTCCTAAGAAATTTACTAGATGAGTTAGACACTGGGATAGAAAAGTCTATAGGAAAAGGTTTAGAGTAATCCAAACTGTAACTCAGTGTAAAATCATAGGTAACCCAATGATCTTAAAAATTCATTTATTTGCCAGATGATAGAGGGTCCCGTTTGCAATGACTTAATTTTTAATATACTACCAGAAGTGCTTTCTGTCCACCAAATGGCTTGGATATAATATAATCTAATGTAATATAATATAGAGAGTAAAATGATTATTTCATGTAGTTCTTTGCTGTATTTTTCACCTTAGCCAAAAGTATTTTATTTGAAAATTACAAGTTTACTTTCTTCCAAGAAGAAAAATAAGGAACTTCTATTAGAATTATTCTTTGGGTTTTCTCAAATATTTCATATAGTTGCTATATGGAACAAACAAATAGGCAAGTTAAGTGTGTCTATCAGCCTATACAACATTAGTAAACAATTATGAAACTGTATTTTTACCTAAAAAACATTATGAAGACACTCCATTTTTTATAGCTCTTAAAAACCGAGAGATATGTAAAGACATTTTTATAGTTGAAAAATAACTTAGGAAAAAAAAAAGAAAAATAACTTCGAGAATAGTGCTGATCATCCAATCACAGTTGTAAAAAGACAATGGTGATCAGGTTCCCATTATGTACATAATATACTTCTAGAAGGGGGAAAGAAGGATGCATATGGGGGCGCTTTCCTCTAACGAAGGGAGTCAACATGTACACAGGGGCAGGGAATGGTGACTCACACATTTTGCCTTGAATGCCAATGTTTTATTTGAATCTTTGAAATACGTATCCATGTATTATTTATGTTAAAAACCGTGAACTGCAGTAGGAGCCATTCATGCCTCCCCGCATCATCAGTGCTGCCTCCTGATTGTGGCTGGACCCCTGCAGTGGCTACAAATGCTGTTTCCCAAATGCACATTAACCAAAATACAAATACCTAGTAACTGTTTGAAGAAGTATAGCTGAATTCAATAATGCTTGGAATGTGTCACCCATGTTTTGGTAGAGGACACAATAGGCACGCTTGAGTTCAAGTTCTGTGAAATGGCACGATGTGCTGTTTTGGGCGGTCACTCCTGATGGATTCATGTGATCAGGGCAGGCATGATTTCTCTCACTGTCCTGCTGACTGCACTAGAAACAATGCTCACCTGTTTGTGCCTTTCTATTTTTTTTTTAACTGTTTGACTTGCCTTTGAAAAACCCAGAAAAGACAAAAATATTCCACTGTTAATTCGCTAAGTCAAAGCCAGTGCTCCTTAAAAAGTTGGCTGATCCCCTACCCCCTAATTACCTTGCAATACGAAGCTGTGACAGAAGGTCTGTCAGCAGATTTTATTGACAACGCTTGAGGAAAAATCCTCTTTCTGTTTCACTTCATGCAGAAGTTTGCAAAAGGGAACACTTGGCAGTACTTCAGATGCTCACTGTCTGCTGGTGTTGATAATGCAATTCTTTTGCTTCATGATGGCAGCTTCTATAATGCTGTATCATTCATGTAGACCATTATGCCCCAGCTGACTGCATTCACTGACTAAACAAATCATTCATACAATCACCTCAACTGTTTAACCTTTTCTCTTCCTACAAGCTTAGCATTTGACTGTGGGCTGATTTTATGCTGAGTTCTATTGTTGAAAAGTGTCATGCTCCACCTGGCATGCTTACAAAATGTCTTTCATGCAGATAAACAGTCAGCTGACCTGAATGAAGAACATTGGTAATTATAGGTGATGCACTAATATTTATTGTACATTTTAAAGGGAATGGCAAAGTATCACACAATTAGTACGTAGATTTAAAATGAGTTTTTTTAATAATAGAGTCATATTCACACAACCCACAATAACTTCCCAATAAAAATTCTGTTTGTATAAGACCTAAAATATGTCCCAAATAAAAGTGTATCCAGGTAGTCAAAGCATATGCTTTCTTTTTTTTCTAGTAGTAGGGAAAAATCAGTGTGACTTGGTATCTCTAAATTGTGTTCTTGAGCACGTGAACAGCATCCCAGAAATCATATGGGTTCTCAAGCCACTGAAGTCTACAAAACTGCTCAAGGCCACAGGTGAAAAGTCACTTGGGGAAATATTTGTAAAATAAATATGCTGGCTATTGTTTGGACTAACTCCCATGGGAGAAGGATTACCTTCCATAATACAGCTGATCAGTGTAACCAATATAAGGTCTAAAATTACACACTTTGGAAACAGGCTACATGTATTGCCTATTCACAACTGTAATGAAAGAGATTGGGGAGGACACAAATAAAAGAGAAATGCATTTACTCACTGTGTTAAAATTTGGAAAGAGCCCAACAGCAGAACTACCGTCCACTGGAAAAGACATAAATGGTTTGATATCCAGTGAAGGCTGCATCATCAGGGTAGGGGTGCGCACAAGAGCAGGAAGTGTAGTAGTGTGGCATGTACTGCCTGCCAAGAACAAAACAAAAATGAATTCAATCTCTTGCTCATATCCATCTCCTTCCCCAACCTACCATGCAAAAACAGGATTGCTGAGCTGCAACCTGAGAGCAAGAGAGTTATGCTGAAGGTAAGCAAACGGCACAGGAGGAGAAAATACAGTTAAAAACGTTCTTCTTGCTCATGATGTTAAGACAGTGATGCAGAATACTTCCCTATGGCAAGGGCCAAGGGCTGCTCAGATCCGGCAGAGGTACATAGTACACGGATCCTGCTGGCAGGTGGGGCAGAATGAGATCATCCTGTTCAACCATTGTCTCTGACTTGTCAAAAATGTAGGAGAGAGGAGGGGAGGAGCCTCTTGCAGCCAGATGCTCTTTACTATTCAGAGTTATTGAATGGCTGGTAGGCATGTTTATGCAAATCAGAGATAATTATAGGGTTTTTACAAGGGGGAAAAAACCTTGGACTCACAGTCACTGCCTGCTCCCAAGAAAATTATGACTCAAACAATTTTATCTCTAAAAAAAAACCAAACTGAAAGTTGCCCTTACTTTGAGGGAAATAAGTAGTCTAGACATTGGATAGTAAGAGAACCTTAAAGGAGTGATTACTGCTAAAGGGAGAGATTACTGCCCAGGTGGGGCAGGGTACTGGGGGACAGGGAGAAGTTAGGACAGAAACTCAAATATTTGTCTCCAACTTGAATTCTAATAAGCCTTGTATTATTGTAGCAACTATCCCTTTTTAACAGTTACATTAGCTGTCATTTCTTTAGGAATCTGGGCTAACCCATGTGTGGGAGATTTAAAGCACTCCTCTCCAGCAACAAGCATTCTTCTTCTGAAACCTCCATCTACTTCAGGTAAGTATCTGTTGGTGCAGGTGGTCCTCTGGGAGATAGGCTCTGGTGTGCCTTTTTTTTAAAATATAGTAACTTTATTGAGATATAATTAACATACCAGACAATTCTCCCACTTAATGTGTACAATTCCATGGCTTTTAGCATATCCATAGTGTTGTGCACATCACTACAATTTAGAACATTTTCACAATCCCTAAAAGAAATTCCATACCCATTAGCAGTTTTCCCCCATTTCCTCTCCATACCCCCAGCTCCCAGCAACCACTAATTTACTTTGTTTCTAGGTTTGTCTATTATGGACATTTCATTTTTTTAAAAATTTGTTTTTAAAGATTTTATTTATTTACTTGAGAGAGAGAAAGCATGCGCATGTGCATGAGCAAGGGGGGGGGGATGGGGGGGAGAAGGAGAGAGAGAGAATCTGAAGCAGACTGTGCTAAGCATGGAGCCTGACACAGGGCTCGATCTCACTACCCTGAGATCATGACCTGAGCTGAAACCAAGAGTCGGCCGCTTGGCCACTCAACCGACTGAGTCACCCAAGTGCCCCTATTATGGACATTTCATTTAAATGAAGTCAAAGAGGGATGCCTGGGTGGCTCGTTGGTTGAGTGTCTGCCTTTGGCTCAGGTCATGCTCCCAGGGTCCTGGGATCGAGCCCCACATCGGGCTCCCTGCTCAGCGGGAAGCCTGCTTCTGCCTGCCACTCTGCCTACTTGTCCTCTCTAACTATCTATCTCTCTGTCCAATAAATAAATAAAATCCTTAAGATAAATAAATAAATAAGCGAAGTCAAACAGTATGAGTTCTTTTGTGACAGGCTTCTTTCACTTGGCATAAAGTTTTCAAGGTTCATCCATGTTGTAGCATGTATGAGAATTTCATTCCTTCTTAAGGCTGAATAATATTCCATTGTAGATGTAAACACTTTTTTTTCCTTATTCGTTCATCAGTTGATGGGCATTTGGGTTGTTTCCATGCTTGCGTTATTATGAATAATGCTATGAACATTTGTCTGTAAGTTTTTGTGTGGAGATATATTTTCAGTTCTCTTAGGAATATACCCAAGAGTAGAACTCGGGACTCTTGGGCCGTATGGTAATCATATAGTTTAACTTTTTGAGAACTTTCAGACTGTTTTACAAAATGGCTGAACCATTTTATAGTACCACAAACAATGTATGAGGGTTCCAATTTTTCCCAGCATGTCTATATAGGACCACAAATAATTATACGCCGAAAATCTCCTACTGACTTCAAGGAGAAATAAACAGTATGGGAAAATGCTCCAACTATTAAAATTTCCTCCAATGTTCTCACACAGTGTTCCAGAATAATTAAAACTTCTATTTCAATGATATATTTTTTGATAATGGATTTCCTTAATAAACTCTGCATTATCTTTCAAATCATTCCAGAACATTATTAGTAATAGTTTTTAATGGACTATCATGCCTTATTTACATTGATCCTCAAAACAGAAAAAAAAGAAAAAGGCTTCTGAAACACTCATCTCTAATGGCAAGTCTTTAGGTCAGCCCCATCCATTAGGGAATATAGAGGAGGACTCAGCAAAAATAGAATCAACCGAAAGTATAGATCAAACAGTAATGGTTTTTTCTGATGCCAAAGTAAATACTCTGATCTCATTCTGGCATTCACATAACCACCCTGTATTTAATTACACATTTTTCTTCTAATTAGGTAATGTTACATTCATTGCTAACTTCAGAGCTTGCAGATCCAAGATGATATATTATGTCAGTATTTCGATGTTGCAGAAGCACTTATTATAATCTTTATTTTTAAAAGCTTTGCTTTAAAATCTTAGCTAAATTGAAAAAAAAGATAATTCTTATTTTAGACCGATGGCCTTTTACAACTCACAATTATTATAATTGTCAAAAGTCAAAAGTCCAAAAAGTATACAGAATTATTCTACTTAAAGCTGCCTAATGGACAAATTATTTTGCCATCATGGGTCTCCCCACATCAAAAGCAAAATTCTTTCTATAAGCCCATGTAGTACAAGGTATTGGAGGGCTTGGCAAGAGTCATTTTGTACTCACAAACTCAAATCAAACATAATGCAGCATGGAACTTGACAAACAGATTGCTCCATCAACAAAGGTCAGAATGCACAATGATCCCCTTTACCCAATCAAATATCTATGCTAATAAAGACAAGGCTTGAGAACTACTTAGCTGCCACCATTCATTAGCATAAAAACTTAGCAGCTGTTTACCATTCATTAGCATTTTAATGACAGACAATTTGCCATGTTAAACACAGATTGTTTTAAAGTACTGGTAGATCTCCTGAATAAATATAAACTGCTTTCATCAATTCCCCTCACCTCAACCTTGCTGTTTTCACTTTTCAAACCTTCTTTTTCATGTCACTTCACCTAGACCCATTGCTTCAAGAAGGAAGTTTTTGCAAATGGGAAATGAATGGGGATAAAGTGCTTTTTTTGCACAAATTAGGTCAGGCTTTAATCCCTCTGTCACGTCATTCCAGATTTTGTTGCTGCTCCCCCTGCTGGGAAGCATTTCTCCTCACCTTGGGATGCCCAAAAGCTGGTGGGAAATACAAGCAGAAATTTGTCCAGAATACATTGTACCCTGCAAGAAAATGCTTAGTATCTTTAACATTTCCTGGGAAAACAAAAAGGGTTGACAATATAATGAGCATAAAGCATGATATAATGCATCTTTTACATTGCTATGCTCATGGGACAGGACCATCCTTTGTCTTTTGTATGAACTATTTGGCAATGTTATGTAAGACACCTCCTATATGTAGTTCTATTTCAAAGCAAAGGATACAATCTTACATACATATCATAATGAATCAAGTCATAACAGGGCTCCACCTTATTTGATAATAAAGATTTTTATTTTTTTAAGATTTTATTTATTTATTTAGAGAGAGAGCAGGGGTGGGGGGCTAGAGGGAGACGGAGAGAGAGAGAGAGAATCTCAAGCAGACTTTCTGTTGAGTGTGGAGCTGGACCCGGGGGCTCTATCCCAGGACCCTGAGATCATAACCTGAGCCAAAATCATGAGTTGGATGCTCACCTGACTGAGCCACCCCAGTGCCCCAATAAAGATTTTTATATCACTTGCTGTATATATAGATCAAACTCTCTGACCTAAAATGAAATGCACACAAGCATGCATGCCTGCTCCAAAGATCCAACAGTCACCGCTCTCACACGGACACTGCACATGTTCATATACTTTCCCATAAGAATGCTATTAACCCTCTCCCCCAAATTTCCTTTTCATTGTAAAATCCAAGTTGTATTCATCTATAACTATGAAACTAAATAATGAGAAAGACAACTCACCACTGTGATCATAAAACTATTATTCGGCCAACTGCCTCTGTAACGTAATAGGTGCTTTATTATGTCAACGGATTATGTTGTAATCCATCACAATAAAACCCCATTTGAGGGTTAGGTGACATGTGAAATTATTGCCTTAGTCTTTGACCTTTAGAAATATAATCTTGAAGATTTAGGTGATAGCTCTGAGAGTTCCTAGCGGCTCTTCTCTATGTACCAAAACATGAGCAGACAAAACACCCCAGTGTTAGAAGGAGGAAATGCCGAAGTCACAGAAAAACCGTATGGAGAAGCATTTACAGAATGAGATCAGATCTATTCTATATCCCATAGAAGTAGTTTTTTCTTATGCCATTATTATGTATGTCTGCCCTAGTGCGTACTGAAATAAAAAGCTTAACATATAAAAGTCTATCAGGTGGAGGCAATGCCAATTATAGAACTCCCAGAGATGTCTTTAAAGAAATTAAAATGAGTGACACTTCGAAAGTCCTACCAAACTCAGTTTTCTTTTTACTGCTTTCCCAGCTTAGTTGCCTTTTACCCTGAGTAACTTTCCCTCTTAACTGCCACAATCACCACCCAGCGGCTCCTCTCCCCCTCTCCCATCATTTCCATTCTTTCATCAGTCTAACACGTGAGGAAAACAAATTTATCAAGAGATCAAGTGTGTCACAAGGAGGTGGCTATGTGAATAGGAGATGTGACTGATAAAGCGTTTTGTTTCTGAAAAGGCCACATAATAATAATAACAGAGATAACATTTTTACAGTGCATACTATGTGCCCGGC